TTGTTGTTGTTGTTGTTGTTGTTGTTGTTGTTGTTGGTGTTGGTGTTGGTGTTGGTGTTGGTGTTGGTGTTGGTTGTGGTTGTTGTTGTTGTTGTTGTTGATGATGATGATGATGATGATGATGGTGACGGCGATGGCGATGGTGATCGTCAGCGTGGTGACCCTGGTTTCTGACGATGTCTGTGAGGAGAGGACCATGTTCACGAGTTCACGATCATGGGCTCAAGGACACTGGTAATGGCATCTGATATATTCTCTTTGGGCCGATTCCAGGCGGTGCAAAAAATGAAGTTCCTGGGTGCCCTGCGCTGAGATGTCTGCGGGACTCGTCCGCCTCATTGCAACTGTGCGCCCTGGCATTTGTGTCGTTCTGGCTGTCGTAGTTATCGTGTTTTGCGGTGATTGCTCTTTCATTTTTGCCGACCGTCTTCCGAGGCCGTGGAGGCGCTCGCCGTGCCAGGGAGGGAGGCGCTTCAGCTGCTGAACCAGGCGCCCTGAAGCCTTTAAAGGACATGGCTGGTGCCTCCAAACCCTCGGCTGCAGCTAATTTCCTTTCCAGAACTCTCAGAACACAACGCATGCAATGATTCGTGATTCTATGTCCTGGGTTTCCATTCTCTTCACACATACACACTCATGAAAATTATCGTTCTCTTCGCCCACAAGCAGAAAGAACGATACCGTGCAAGTATGTGACAGCATGAAGACAATGGGCAACTGCCGAACATAAAGGGGGTTTTTGCTGGCCCCCCATTCTCTTCAAACATTCACACTCTTCAAAATTCTCGTTCTCTTCACTCACAGACAGAAAGAACGATTCCGGCAAAGTATGTGAAGAGCTTGAGAAAATGGGAGGGTGACCGCTGGAGTGATGACGTAGAAATTTGCTGCCGTCACTGCTGTTTTGAGGTTACTTCGTTGTCAACCTTGCTAGGCCTTCAGGCTTCAGATCCCAGCTCAGGAAGAGTAGTACTTTGAAAGAAGAGACATGGAGCTGAGTACGTAGGTGTGTGGAATACGTTGTACCGCAGGGGTGGGAGCAAGAATTCCAGGCTCAGGCTCATATTTCTCGTTGTCTTTCATGAGCTCATTGTTGCTGTCTGCGAAAGCCGCCAGAGCAACGTCTTCCACGTCGCGGAGGATGCCGGCTGCCTCAGATTCTCCCGGGGAGATCGGGATAACTCAGCTGGCCTTGTTGCGAAATCCTCAGCCCAAGGTCCCCTAAAGCGTGAACCCAAAAACCCACGCGCCCCGAAGCCCTCAACTACAAACCAAAAGAGGCCCTGAGGCCCTAGATCTACAGCACGCCCCGCCGCATGCCTCAGGCGGCTATCCGATTGCAGGGGCTCATGCCGCCCGCAGCCCAGACTCGAGGAAGGATTTTCCTCAGGTTGTGAGCTTTGAAACCAGGAGCTCTTGAGCACAGCCCCGAGAGATGGAGGATGGTAGTTTTCAACTGACAGATGCGCCAGCCAAGCCGTGACACCCCAAGCTCACTCCGAAGCTTGAGCTTAGCCACTGAAGAGCTGTGCCCCTTGTACCCTCAAGCTCAGAGCCCTCGAAAGCCTAGAGCTCGAAAGCCCGGAAAGATCGAGGCCACAGCCAGAACAGCCGGTAACCCTCTTCCGGCACGAGGAGGGCCTCAGGGGCTTTCATGCGGCTTTGTCTGGTGTGTTTGGGAGTGCATAGCGGCATAGCTTAGGTGTTCCTACAGTTGGTATGCGACGAGCTTCGTGTGGGAACCCCTGTTTGAGATGCAAGGGCTTTGGCGAAACCCTAGGCCTTATGGGGTCTTGAAGACCCATAGCAAAGGGCAGTGTTCCTCAATGTCGGTTGCAGGCCGTAGGCCTCACGCGCATTCCTGCTGTCTCCGAGCCTTATGGGACACGGTTTTCTTTCGGTGTACGGGCACCAACACTTGGGCATCTAATGACGAAGAATGTCGCTGAGCCCAGGATGTAGTAGGGGTGTTGCTACTAATTGTCTCGCCGTTGGAATCTTCCATGGCTGCTGTAGAAGATGGGCATTGGCCTTCTTGGAGTCTGTTCGAGGGGCCCCAAACCTCCAACCCTGAAGCCCCAGAAGGTAAATTTACACCTCAAGAACGTCGAAGCTGGAAACCACACCCAAAGTGCAGAGCTGCAAGATTTATGTGGAGGACCTCGTCGACTGGGTGGTCTTTTCAATTACCTTCCTGGTCAGGGCCCAAGCAGAGACTTCTGGCCCCTGGCCCTTCCTTGAGCTGACGTGTTGCGCATGTTTCCTGCAGTGTGCTGCAGTCGTCAGGCATCCTCTGTGACTCAGTTTGGAACAGCAGGGAAGCGGAATGCCGAGCGGTAAGAAAAGGGCATCTGCTGTCGCTTTCGGTTCTTTCAACCTACAAAGAGTGATCGGTGGTGAAGAGAGTATGTCAACCTGCAGCAAAGGCAGACACAGTATCTCTCCATGCTCCTTCTCACAGAGGGTGACCGGCCCCTGCTGGCCCCATCTGCTTGCGTCCTTAGGTCCTCGTGGTCTTTGACAATCTGGTGCTCTTTGGGAAGTACGGCCGCCTCCTCAGTGCACTTAAGGAGTTTCTTGGGGGCTTCGGATTTCAAGGGCGACCAGTGAGTTTCAGCTTGCTTGCTATGTTTCCTTGGTGGTGATGGTGATGCGTCCTTCCGTTTGTTGGAACACAGACGATTCTCAAGGTTAGCCACGGGGGTTGTCAACGTGGGTGTCTCGCCGAAGAGCGTAGTCTTGAAGTCGGCAGGTGATGACGATGACAGTGATGATCCTAAGTTCTCATCCACAGTCGGCAAGGGAAAGCCACGAGCACTCACAGCCTCTACTGCTTGGGCAGAAGCCGGGGCAGAACGCAGACCTCGAACCTTCAGTCAGCGCTCCGGAACTTCGGAGCCGCAGTTGCTGCAGCCCGCGCTCTTCCCTGTGTTTCATCGCAGCTGCGGAGTCCTTTTGCTGCTTTTTTTCTTGTCGCCCAAGGCGGCAACATGAGCGGCTTGGATGCAACACACAGGGTGTCGCAATGAGAAGAGACGGCCACGGTTGGATTTGAACTCGAGGTTTTTCGAAGGCGCTGGCCTACTCCATCTTCTGGTGGCGGCCTCTGGGACACAGGGACTCGCGGGCTACTCTGGGCTCTGTGACTTAGGCTGGTTTGTGCCGCCGGCTTCAACGGCTACATCTTCTGGTCGCGCGGAGCAGAAGCAGCCTTCGACTGGGGCACGGCCCTTAAGACACACGAACAATCATGAACACACCGCGGCATGCGTCGACACACGAAGTCATATTCCAGGCACGGGCTACATGCTTGCGGAAGCCTCAGAGCAGCGTTGCTGCTTGAGAGTCCCAAATTCCAAGAGCGATGCTGAGCCCAGGAGTGGATGCTGTCTGTGGACAACTTGTTTGTCTTCAGGCCGACATGAGGGCCGCGAGACCGCAAGGGAGCTGGCGACGAAGCATCTGTCAGCAGGAGCATCTTCCTCATCTTCCACACTCCCAACAGCCACAAGTGCTGAGCCCAATTAAGGGAGAGGAGAGGGGGCCGGAGCCGGGCCGCAGCCCAGGCACAAGCCTCTCTTCTGGGGGATCTGTGGCCCGGAGCCCGGCGGGAGAGGGCCACCCCCACAACGTCGCACAACGTCGCCTCACAACGATCGCCCCGGAGGTGCGATTGTGTTTCGGATGATCTTCTTCGTGGTGGGTGAGGTTATGGCCCGGATCCCAGATCCAACGCAACCTGAAGGCTTCCCCGGCTTACAAGCGCTTCAGCTGCGGGCTTTCTTTCGATGGCCCCGCGAAGTTCGCGCTTCCGAGACGGTGCATTCATTTGTTGCAAGCTGAGATGCACGCATTCTGGGCCACTCACTTCTTCTTGGGCTTCTTCCTCATGTACACAGGTTACAAGGCCAGGGATGCCTGTCTGCATGCGTGCACAGAAGTATCCTCTTCCTTCTGATCGTCGTACTTGCAGATCCTCGGTGTTGAAGATGACGACGAGGACGTGCTTGTGCCGAGATGCAACGCAGAGGGCGATAACCCCCGCGGATCGAGGACGTTCCGAGCCAGAATCCTGTCTTTCTCTGGATCATCAAGATGCCTGGCCTGACATGTAATTTTCGTCGTGCATGCCGCGAGAGAGCTAGCCAAGGAGAGAGAGAGAGAGAGAGAGAGAGAGAGAGGGAGAGAGGGAGCGACTGTGGACCTGCGCCTGCAAGGAAAATTAAGCTCATCGACGCCTACTCCCCTGAGCTCGGATGCCAAGCAACATGTAGGGCAATCGTTTCGGTCGAAGCAGTGAGGGTGTCCCCAGTGCGACTAAAGCCCGTCGGATCCATGACGAACATCGAAGGCCCCGTTTCGTGCTGAAGGTGGCCTTGGACGCCAAGACAGAGGAGCCTTCCTTAAGCTACGTGAGAGCTGTGCACAAAGCCATGCCATAATGAAGAAAGTCACAGCGAGAAGCCCTATAGTTATACAGTTATACACCGATAGCAAAAGTTTAGACACAGCTTGGGGATGTTCCGAAGTAAAAGAAACTGGGCTCGTTGGGCACTTAGCACAGCTCCGAGCCCAGTGAAACGTGCAGTTGCATTGGCCAGCTGATACGGAGCTGTCTGAAGCTCCAGAGTAAACTGAAACTCGGGAGATCTCAGGAGAATTGGCTTAATTCTGTAAGTTAAGGCCTCCTGCTGTTGGTGGCAGGAGCCTGTCTTGCCTGACTGGACCCCGCAGATGTGAGATGCTCAGATTGGCACTCGAAATTCAATGCTGTTGAGTCAAAGGTCAGAGGTGTTATTGGTGGTGGTCGTCGTCATCGTACAAGTATTGGGGAGAAGTGACGGAGGTGGTAGGAGTAGAGGAAGCGCGGGTGAAGTCGTCGCCGATGCTGCGACTACTACTACAACAACAGCAGCAACACCAACAGCAACAACGACAACTACTGCTACTACTAGTACAATAGTACTAGTACTAGTACTAGTACATTGTGCCTGCAAACTAGATTTTTTTCCAAAATCTTGACGCTCTTGCAATCTTGCTCAGGCAGGGGGGGGAAGATTGCCAAGCAATATTGGTCATCTTGCCCCTGCTCATTTGCTCGCCGACTAGTTTACCTTTTGGAGACCAAGTTTGCAAGATTGCTTTCCCTGGCAATCTTGGTCTAAAAGGTAAACAAGTCGGCGTTATTCGTGGTACAACTGCTGTGTCCAGCCACTGTCGTCGCACTGCATGGGTCACGTATCCAATCGGATATACACATACACAACTTGAAACGCCTACCTCAACTCAGCTTGGAGGGCATCCGGGATGATTGGGCACAGCATGTGACATCCTTGTAGTTTGGTAGTTTCGGTTCTCGCATTTCATTTTAGCTAAGCGTGCATGGCGAAATCGCTATGTTCTGCGTCGCGGCTGACAGGCAACTGAGTCCGTGAGAGAGAGAGAGAGAGAGAGTATCCCGCACATGAAGTGATGACGAGAGGCTGGCCCTATCGGTCAGACCAGCTGCCGTTCAATCCGACGTCATAGCTCTACACGTTCATGAAGCCAAACGCAACCTACCCCGGTTTGGGAGGATGGAAAGTAAGGGTCTGAGGACAGAAGATCGCGAAGGGAAACTACGACCCTAGACACCAAATCCACCATGAGTGCATGTAAGGCAGGCCCACCATCGCATGCAGCCAGCCATCTACATGAAAGTGCGGCCAGGAGCTGACTAACACCGCGTGGGCATTTGCCTCCTTGGGCTTCAAGACACAGGCTTGCTTGAGCGTCGAAGTGCGTGTTTCGCCGAATCTTCTGTCCTATACCCGAGTGTTCGGCAGAGGTTTCGGGATGCCGAGCAGAAAGAACAGCTTGACATAGCGTGGCTTCAGTATTCTAGGAGAGGCAGCGGCAGATGCAAGTCACAATTATCATCCAACGGATTCTACAAGCGCAGGCGGGCGCCTTTTCAACCAGGGCAGGGGAATTGACCTAGGAGCGCGCCCAGCAGCCAGCCAGCAATAGGCGCATCCAATTCAACACCTAACACGTCCTAGGCCCACACCCCCGAACGAAGACTGATAGTTGGTCAAGATCCGGTACAAAGCAGACATGTTTCTCATGTGTGCATGATTATTTTGGTCCTGTTCCCATTGCTCTCTTCTTCCCTGCGCCAAGCTTAGCTTGGAAGTGAGGCAAGATGATGGCAATCTAAGCACTTAAATGAGCCTTCCAGGTGTTCTTGTTTTGGCTGTGACTCAAGTCCAAAAGCTTCTTTGCCGCAGGGCTTGTTCGAGGCACTGGGCAAAGAATGCATCTTGCATGCATCCTTGCCGTTCAACAGTGGTGGCCTGTTCGACTGGAATCTGCAAGCACTCAGGTAGCGCAAAGCTTCGCTACTTCAATTTGCCCCTTTTCAGCAGCAGATGATCGCCGTTCTATTTCCTTCATCTGCTGGACACGGTTGCAGTTAAGGCAAAATCTGACCAATGTCGCCTGGTCCTATTCTCATCTGAAAGTCTGCGACGACCTGCTGTCAGAGGTGGCGGCAGTGGCACATTCTCGGATCCATGACATGATACTGGGCTTGGATTATGCATTGTTCTTTCTGCTTTGGTTTGCCTCTCTTCGTCTCGCACAGAAGCTGGAGCGTTTTTCGGCTGGAGCGTAGCCGTGGTCGGATACCGAAATACTGATCCCCTGATGACAAAACTGAGGAATGTCCAAGATCTGGCTCAGCTGGTTCCATTCTCAGACTCAGACACATGGCCCTACCCCTAAGCCCTAAGCCCCTCAAAGCAAAAACCGATGGGCCGGGCCGGGCCCTGTTTGCAAACCTTGGCCCAGGCCCTGACACTCGTCTTCAGCCGACGTGCAAACTTCGGCTTGAAGGCCATCCAGGGGCTGCAGGGTTTGGCCTTAAGGGGTGGTTATACTCGAAAACAGGGCAACATGTTTATACCATACTATAGTACACTATTTATGCAGTGTCAGCGCACGCTGGTGTTGCCAAGTGGGAGCCAAAAAACACTATTTACTATAACATATGTTAATACATCTATATGGACATACTAGAGCATACAATATCAGATGATTATCGCAGGCCGGCCAGAGTCCTTCAGTCGTGCCTCTCTCCCCCTCTCCGTAAGACCTCTCTGTTCCCGTCGCTGTTTCGTTGACCCGCCTGTCGACGATAGTCCTTCCGGAAAGCGGCTGTGGGCAGGAGGTTCAGAGTTTGGGGGGTTAAGGGGCACATCATGGCACATCACGGAGTCGCCTTCGCGAGGGCAGAAGATGAGGCTGGAAGTGAAAGCAGATCTCGAAGCCAGGAACTACCTAAAGGATACAAACCAGAGGATCTACAAGGTCTGCGACGGAGCAAGACCAGGGAATCCTATTGCGAAGCCCACTCTTATGCCAAGATCGGGCCAAAACACCTGAAGGCATCAACTTCAACCCAACCGTTTTTAACTATAAGAACTACATGGGAAGTAACTCCACCGGGTCGCAATTGACCCCCTCAGGAATGTTGTTTGTGTTCCTCCAACCCAAACCCAACTCCCCCGCTCCCGTCTGGGCATCCCCGCGCACACATTGTATGCATTCTTTTATGCATGCAAGCAAGCAGGTACGCAAGTATATCTGTTTGTTTGCACATATGTCATCATGAAATACGAAAGATAATCAGGGCAACAGCAACAGAAAAGAAGTGTTTCGATAGGTAGGTAATTAATTACATAAACAGGTACGGAAGGAAGGGAGTAAGCAGGTACGCAAGCATGCATGCAAGTAAGCACGTGGACAGCCCTGTTCATGCGTATGTATTTACATACATGCATGCATGCATGCATGCATGCATGCATGAAGGTATATATGCATCTATGTGAGTCCTGCCATGTGCAACTCCTCAGGAGGATCTCGGGGACGATGGCGTGCTCGGCAGTCGTGACTTAACCCTTGCCTTGGTTGTCGAGGCCTTGCCCGGTGTTGAGAAGCAGCTGTGGTGGTTGTCTCGAAATCAAGCGTACCCGAGCAATGAAAAAATTGTGGGCTCCGCATCATAGAGAACCTCTTCATGAAGGTGTACAGTAGTAGGATGCTCATTTCACGATGCCCCGAAAAAGGGCTCTCGTCCTTGCAGGCAGGGTCATTGGGTACGATGTTAGCCTGTCAGAAGCATTGGGTAACTGAAGGGTACGTGCATGTAGGATAGGCGCCGGCCAATTCTCATGTGGTGTAAGGAGACAGCAGGACTTGTTCCAGGTACGCATGTTTCACGACTCATGGAGGCACGGGAGGTGTGCAGCGTGCAGAGGTCAGGATGGTCAGATTTTCCATCCCTACCCCGACACAGAGGCACTCTAGTGAGAGATGAAGCTGTAAAATCTTAGACAATACACGGCCCTTCACCCAAAGCCCTCACCCCTCCAGGTGACCAAAGCCATGGTGCAAAAAATTCGCCAGCCTGGCGTCACGAACCTTGCCAGGTCCCATTATATCATGTCATGCGTTTTGCTTTTAGCGGCTTTGGAGTTGGGAATTATAGTGGCGAGTCTGACGAGGTATGCTGCAAGACTGTTGGTTGCCAGCACCGCACAAGCCGTCCAAGCTTGAAAATGAATGTCTGCGTGCGGCTGAACATGACGCATTCCGTTGCTAGGGAGATGGCAAAATGTCCCCTCAGGAGTCAGGAGTTGATGCTTATCATAGAACCCCTGTAGTAGCCCTCGTAGAACCCAACCCTCTCACAAATCAAAGTTTGAAATCCTGAGCCTAGGACGCCGGATGACGCCTGGATCGTGCATGACCTTGTGCTTGTGTGGCTGGAGGCGCTCAGACTCGCTTCGTATAGTATATTATAGTATAATATACTACAGTATAGTATACTATAATAGTATACTATAGTATACTATAGTATGGTACAGTATACCAGAGTACGTAGTACATAGTGTATAGTATATAGTATGTAGTATAGTCATCCGACTTATGGAGCCCTCAGGAGAAGGTGGCCTCGGAGCTCTTGGGGGACTCATGGAAAATGCTGGACGCGTGCCCTTGCCCGGGAGAAATCGCTGACTAGAGTCACGTTTGTGGCTCCATGAAGTGTGCTCTGGTCGAATCCGAGGTACATGGCTGGCCAGTGCCTTAGTAACCGCGAAGGGTCCAAAAGTCCAGGGCTCGGCAGACACAGCTGAGGTTTGCACCATCAAGTTCTAGATTTCCTTCGCAACACCCCGCTCCTGGCACGCGCAGGGCCCTTATGTCATCCATGGCAGAGTCGACACTTCGTGCTTACGATGCAGTGACCGAGGCCCTCGCCTGCGGCTCTGTTGTGCAGTCTGCTCATGTCCCGATCTACGAGCAGCTCTTAGACTGCACGTGGTGACGTCGATTTCGGGCGGGCTCTTAAACTTTAATATCTTACTCTCTTATTCATGGATATCTGATATCTTGCTCACGGGTCCTTATGGAAGGTGTTCTACTACTCTTCGGGGCCCTCTTCATTTTCTGAAAGACGTGCACATCACGAACTCAGGTCTTTTCGAGAACTGGACATCAGGCCAACCCTTGCTGGGCAGACGAAGCAGCCGACCTCACAAACGAAGCCTTATCCCGCAAACCCTGATTCGTTTCGTAGCACCAAAGCAGACCTCGGCGGGAGCATAGTACTCAGTAGTGCGAGGGGGAACAAATTCGTTTTGTAGATGTTGCCAGGTCTCTGGGAATCAAGTACACCGGCATGCTGTTGTCTGAGCTAGGCCTGACTGACAGGCCCAGAAGCTGGAACGGTGTGGGCTCTTACAACTGCCTTTACGTCTTTAGCATGTGATGCAGCTACAGTAACTGCGTGGCGTCGGTGCATAGTGCGAGCATAGACACACACACACACGCACATCAGCTCCTGAACCATCTGTAGTTTCAAAGTCGGTGCTTACTGTAAACAGAAGTCATGGAGACACTCCGAATTCGGACCCTGAGCGGTAGGGTCCTGGTTCCGTTTCAAGCATCGCTGGAATTGGGCCACTCGCTTACCCTCATGCCGCGAAGTTTGTATGTGTAACTTCTGGATGGCTACTCAAGGGAAATCCTGTGAGGAGCGACTTGCTTGTGCTTTGCACGGCCGAGCGATAGAATCTTCCATTTATTGGAATGTGCATGTGCAGAAAATTTACTAGGAACGGAACGGCCGGCAGTCACACCGTCGTTGGTGTAGGTGAACAGCGGCATAGACCTGGCGACAGACACCACAACGCGCTGCATTCCCCACTACTTTTAGGTGAACCTAGGTGTCTACACGTTCTTCTGCGTCTGTGTGTATTACATGTGCACATAAGATGTAATGCTATGTACTGTAATCATATCGGACGAAATGGGTGAATGCATGCGTGTTTGCATGCAAACCTCTGAACGTATGCGTAGGTTTGTTCTAGGGTCTGTGCAAGCTTGTTTCCCTTTGTGCTTTGTTGCTCTCTTTCAGCGGAAATGAGTGCCGGGCATCTCTCGCTCTCTCTGTACCTCCCTCATTCTTCTTAACGCATTAAGATATACATGCCTGCATGTCCTGGCAGACACGATTGTAGTCTGATCATATGCTTGTCTGTTTGTATGTGCTTGAATGCACACCAACTGCTTCTGAGCCTGCTTGTCTTGCTCCCCATACATGAAAGCGACCCCCACAAACAGTGCGAGGTTCTGTGTACATGTTCCCATTCGTGCAGTCACCACATGAAGATGCAAGTACAGAAAGACTTACAGCTAAGAGCCGAGACACTGCATTGTCAATTCTTGTTCTATATTGGTTTTCTGCCAACTTGTTCAGTTCTTTGGTTCTGCATCGAACTGCGTGCATCACTCCTCTAAACAACATGGTGCAGAAATCGCCCAAAGTGCTTACGAAATTTAACCGCCGGTTCGTGTGGCACATCTTTCGGTTATATCTATCTATTTATCTACCCATGTTTGAATCAACCTGCCTACCTACCTGACGAGATAGAGACGGAACCATGACAGGAAAGTAGGAACAGCGGCAAGCAGTACAGAACAGCGTCACAACATGTTGCTATAGCGTCATTTGATTCTGATTCTGGCTCGTAGTCAGGTAGTAGCTCCGGCGTGGTTACGTCCCAACCTCTCCACCTGCCGACCATCCATCCATCCATCCATCCATCCATCTGCCTGCTTGCCTGTTTGTCTGTACGTCTGCTCTGTTTGTTCGCCTGTCATCTGTCTAGTCTAGTCAGTCTATCTCGTCTGTCCAGCTATGCATCTGTCCAGCTATCTTTCTATCTATATCTATCTATCCGAGCGTGCAGAGGTAAAAGCTGACGAACCCCAACCACCCACAACACAAAAACAGCGCGTCGGAACGGCAGGGAAGACGATGGGCTGACCGAGTCGGCGCGCGTTCTGCTGGCGGAGGACTGGCGCAACTGGAAGTTTTTGGGCTCAATGTCCTGCACTGATCAAAGGTCTGGCGACTTGAGTCAAAGCTCATGACCGAACCCAGGTTTTTTGTAATGTACCGCACTGCACAATGACAACAATTTGCTTGCTGGCCAACTTAGAAAAGGTGGGTTTGCAGACAGCTTTCACATATAGAGCGGTTTGAAGTATGAGTACACTACGAACGCCACCCCAGCTGCAAAATGTCACTTCACGCTTGTCGAGTAGTTTCCACATCAACTTCTGTGCTGTCGCATGAGCTGAAGTCATGTCTCCCCCAACCCTAAACCGTAAACCCTGGCTTTCTAAACCCTAAACCCCACACAGGAGAAAGCCGAGCTTCTGCGTCAGGCTTGGCCGGAGATGACTCAGCCAGTTGCCACCGTAGAGGATATAGGGTCTAGGTGTTTTGAATACGCGTCAACAAGAACAGCAGGCAGCAACCAGCTACAGTCACTCAAAGAATGACCAAAGTTATCAGCCTTCAGGCAACTGTAGAAGCTTTTCGTTTGCTCAATATGCAAGTTTCAGAGGACCCCCAACACGTGACCCCAAGCTTTGGCGGCCCTAAACCCTATCCAAACCCGGGCTCTCCGATAGACACCATGCAGTCGGAAGCAAGGTGTCACAAAAAAACCAAACCTAAACCGTGGCCCCTCTGCTCTGATTCGGATGCTCTGCAGTTGCCTGGGCAGCCCTCGGCTCCGAAGCCACCGGGCCTCCGAAGATTTCCCAAACCTCCGCGCGCCGAAGCCTGAAACTAGAATAGTAGAGGGACCCGAAATCTAGGGCCGTGGGGCGGTCGATGCACAAACTGCGGAGAGCACAGTGTCAGCTTTCAACAGACGGGCGTGCCACCGCAAGCCGGTGAAAGCAAGAGAGAAAGAGCGGGAGAGGTTATGGAACCCGTAAAGCAGCCCTGATTCAAGAAGGCTTTTTGCGTAATGCCCCTCCGCTGTGGGAGGATCCCGGAGCAGGAAGCCAGAACTGGTGTCTCTTTCGCCACTTCGGTGTGCAAGATCGCTCAGGATCCGGATGTTGGTCCTTCAGGGGACGGGCTTGATTTATTAGGGATCAGGATTGCTCCGACAGCAGATGCCGCACGGCCTCTGAACTTCTTCCGAGGCTTCCACCTCAGCTCTGAGCTGCGGGAGGCGAAGGCAATCTTGGCTTCAAAGCTATCAGGGCTTAGGCTCGACGTGTAGGGCTCAGGGTTTCGGATGGACGTCAAGGAACTCATGTTTGGTTACTTTGTTCATCTACAAGTTGCAGGGTTCTGGCGCTCGTTCCGGACTCCCAACATGCTGTGAGATCTCGTTATTGTCAGGTCACCACACTCTTTTTGGCTCGAATTTCGGGATCTTCCGCTTTGAGTTTCGAGGCTCATCGCTCCTTCGGTGTGGCTTAGCGGATTCCTTTGGTTGGTGTTTGTGCCAATGCCTCGACAATGTCTGGATGTTGAGCTTGGCAGCTTGGGTGGGGTGCATACGCAGCTTTGCAACATGTAAAGCCTGTGCGACCTCAAACCACTGCCACTAGCATCAATCGCAAGCAGTGTGAACACTCTGTGGCGCCCTGTTACTCCTACTACTACTACTACCACCACTACTACTACTACTACTACTACTACTGCTACTACTACTACTACTACTACAAAACTACTACTACTACTACTACTACTACTACTACTACTACAAAAACAACAACAAGAACAACAACAACAACCACAACCACAACCACCAACCACCAACCACCAACCACCAACAACCAACAACCAACAACCAACAACCAACAACCAACAACCAACAACCAACAACAACAACAACTACTACTACTACTACTACTGCTACTACTACTACTACTACTACTACTACTGCTACGGCGCTAGCACTACCACGACCACTACCACTGCGACGACGCCTGCAACTACGACTACGTCTGCTACTGCCACTGCTGACTGGGACATGTCTTCCTGCTTCACACACACAGAGACACAAAAAGTTGCCAATACTTAATCAACGACAGCAAGAACTCTAATGACGAGCTGGGCAGGAGCTGGCTGGCATCCGTGTCAGGACCCGCCGGCATGCGGCAAGCGGCCGGCTTGGGCGAAAGGGGATCCTGGTGAGTTGACCATGTTAAACCTCGGCGGGATATGTTGTTGTTGTTTTTGGCGGTCTCATGTTAAGAGTATGCAAGTGTCTGTGTGTAAAAACAATGTATATATATATACACAATTGAATTATATGTATATATACAACATTTGTTTATGCCTACATGTAGTGCCAGTGCCATTCTCTGGTGTACTATGTTATGTTGTAACGAGTGCCGTACATGATGCTAGAACCTGTGCCCATGCATTATTGTCAGCGTGGTGGAACACTGTGTGCTTCCAAGCCTCCACAAGAAGAAGAAGCCCAGAAAGGCCCAGGAACTTGTCGGCAGCATGGCAGAAAACATGCACATACAAGCCATTCTTAAGTCATGAGACGCCACACACGCATATGCGTGTAGAAGAACTTCATGGAGAAAGGAGCTGTGGCGGAGATCCGCTTGCCCTGGAGTTGCTGGACCCTCCGCGAGAGGTCGGCGAAATGTGATGGCAGATATGTGTAGTAGCAGCGGTTGTCGTCGTCGCGGTGGTGGTGGTTGTTCCATTCTTAGTGCTAGCATTCGTAGTAGTAGTAGTAGTAGTAGTAGTAGTAGTAGTAGTAGTACGAAGTTTATTACGGTAGCAGTAGTAGCAGTAGTACTAGTTAGTGTACTAGTAGTACTAGGCGCCGCCCTACCAACTACACTTGCGGCAAACCCTAGTAAGAGCATATCCGTTTTACTCGGTATTTACAGCACTTTCGTCATGTACGATCATCATAAGAAGCCTCAAAATCGACTTGCCGAGTTTGCAAACTCGGGCTCTTGATTTTGGACTTGCTTCTGGGGGGTGGTGGGGTGGGGGGGATGATGACGACAGTGTTACGCAAGCACACCCAACAATATCACCACAAGAGCCGTTTTACTCGGTATTTACAGTACTTTCGTGATGTCGTACTTTCTTATATAGTTGCGGACTGTGCGTCTTAAACTTTGGTGT